CCAACTGCGGCCACGTGGGGGATGCAGAGGAGGATGAATACGATTACCCTGATGTGGAATGGACCCCCAAAATGCCTCACGTGACCTCCTTGACCCCCACGTATCCACCCAGCTCCAAAGAGCCCAGCACCGCCCCACGCGCTCTTACTCAGCCCGCTCTCACATCCGCCGTTCCCCCCTTCGGCATCCCTGCCGGCCCCGGTCTGACTCCGACTGTTTTCCTTACCACCGCTGCGCACACCACGGCTCCCAGCACCTCCCCTCCTGCATCCACCAGTCCCACCATCACCCCCCCCAGCACTGTGCATCTCTTGCAGCCCCCCAGCACTGCCCCTTTTTACACTGCTCCCCCCAGCACCTCGCACAGCCCCACCATCTCTCTGACAGCTGCTCCCAGCACCAGCAGCCATCCGCAGAGCACCCTCACCACCCGTGCTGCCAGCAGCCCTTTCACAACGTTCACCAGAGCATTTTCCACCAGTCCTTCAGCTCTGCCTTCCCCCACTGAGCCAGAGAGCACTTCAATCACCACATCTTCACCTTCTGCTCTGACATCCCCCACACCAGCAGTCCCCAACGCCACGCTTTCTGCTCACACCCCTACGTTGTCTGCTCCCCTGGACACCACGCACTTCCCCCGCCCATCTCCTCCGCTCCCCCCTCCCCTGCTCTGCCCGTGCTCCACTCCAGCACAGACTCCATCCGTGCTGCACTCGCAGGCAGCTGTGAAGGGTCTGCACTGGGAGCACTGGGTGCTGAGCCATTGCTGTCTCCTGCGCTGGGTGCTCTACCTGGCCTGCTTGGCTCTGCTGCTCCTGTCTGTGCTGCTTTTAGCTTGCTGCCTGGTGCGGATGTGTCTGACAAAACACAACTCACTGCAGACCCAAGAGGTGCAGCATCCGCTGTTGAGGTTGGGGAATTCAACACAAAGTCATACCACACATCTCTGCGTCTTCCGAAGCCTCCAACAACGCTCCACGTTCTGCACCACCAAGGAAGTAGAGCTGTGCCCTGAAGTTGCCACATCCCACACTTACTGCACGATTAAAGACCTGGGGGTGCAGCGTGGCCCTCCTGCAAAGTCCTTCTGCACCACGAAGGAGCTGTGGATCCACCACGGCCCCCTGAATGCTCCATCCAATCCTTTCCCCACGGAGCTGACAGCCACAACGCTCGGCTCTCTGCAGAGCCCTTCTGCTCGCAGCCTGGACAAGGGAGTCAGGGCCATCGGTGCTGTCAGGGTGAATCACGGTGCCAACACCTTGTAAATGCTCCTGTGCCTTCAGAGGGGGGATGGGGGCACGGCTCTGGCTCATGTCTCCTGCTGCACAACAGGAAGATCTGCTCACCGCAGGAAGGGAAGGCATCCAGCTCCTTGCCCCAGCACTACTCACACTCATGGTGCTAGCTAGATCTGAAATGGTTTCTGGGCTGCTTGTCAGGGGTGGGAGTTGTCCTAAACCAGAGCTTGGGGCTGAAATGCCCGGTTTTGGGGTCAGTGTGGGAAAACAGAGCTGGATTTATCTGCTACGTGCTGACTGCTTCTGCTCAAATGTCACACACGCACATCATGCTTTCAACTCAGAGTTAGTTTATTAATCACAGAATAAATATTCTCTTTGCCTGATTTCCATATGGGAGCTAATTTCATTTCACTAGACCTCTGGTAGTGCTGTCAGAGTACAGCAAATGGCTGTCCTCAATACTTGGAACTGCAGAGAATAGAGGAAACGTCCCTCATGTGCAGCTTCCTGACACAGAGAAGAAGAGCTGGAGGATTTTAGATAGGAAGCACAACATTGCCTTTGGCTTTTGCCCCAAACATTTGACCCTTGGGGAGAGCGCATTGCAGCCACACAGAACCCAGTGAAGAGCTACACATTTT